CCACTTCTCCCTAAGGCGAACCAAAGGGTATTCGCGGGACGCCTGCCCAACTCTCGCCAGGACTCGGTATACTTTCCATTTAAATTTAATACAATACTAGCCATTAATACGATGTAAAGTAAGTAAAATGCAGATACGTTCGAATTTAACAATATAAGATGTGAGGACTCGGAAAATTTGTTTATTTTAAACTCCTAATTCTAATTCATTTAATTATTTATTTGGCCAATTGCCCTGAATATTATTTTCTAACTTTTTTAAACCTAATTACATGGATCTATAGCTTAATTACTTGTTTCAAAATTTAATTTTTGGAAGCTCGTTAAGTGAGAATAGTGAATGCACATTTGGAAGCAATAACCGATTTGAGAGTACAATGAGCCTGAAAAATTGGAGACTTGTACATTAGTCTTAAAATAGGTATTTTTATGTTTAAGTGTTCAAGTGTTAGATAGTTATACTATCGTTATAAGAATTTCTTGAAAATTTCACTTTATCGCACACAAATCGGAGATATGCGTTTTCGCATGCGCGATTAATTGAGAGACTTTAGACCTTTATTTTTAGACCATTAAGAGTGAATAATAATAGTATGAATATAAGTGCATTAGAGGTTTAGTGCACTAGTGCAACAAACTCGAGAGGAATCGAGTACAAAACGCGCGCGTGCCCGCGGGAGAAAGAGTTGACTTTTGAATTAATTAGAGTCACACATTTTAGCTTCTCTTGGAAGCTTCATTTGCAGTCAAACTCTCTCTCTCTTTCTCTCTCATTCCAGCTAGGGTTGTAATTAGGGGTGCAAACGAGCCGAGCTCAAGTCGAGTTTTGGCTAATCGAGCCGAGCTCGAGTTAATTTTGTGAAACTCGAACTCGAGCTCGAGCTCGACGAGCTCAAAATATCAAGCTCGAACTCGAGCTCGAGTCAAATTCGAGTCGAGCTCGAGCTTAAAAAATAAAAAAAAATAATTATTATTATTTTATTTTTAAAAAATAAAAAATAATTTTTTTAAAAAAAATGAATAAAACAATAATTTTTTTAACAAATAATAAAATATTAGGGATATATATGTAATTTTACTATTAAAATACAAAATAAAAAATAAAAAAAATATATAATTGAGCTCGCGAGCCAACGAGTTTAATGTTTTTTAGCTCGAGCTCAAGATCGAGATCGACTTAATTAGCTCGAGCTCGATATTGACGAGCTCGAGTCGTGCTCGTATTCGAGCCGCTCGCTATCGGCTCGCGAGCGGCTCGATTCGCGAAACACCCCTAGTTGTAATCGCGAGCAGCTCGGTCAAAAGCTTGACTCGAAAATCGAGTTCGAGTCGAGCTCGAGCATCCAGAAGAGATGCTCGGAGGCTCGACGAGCCTTATCGAGCATATTTAATTTTAATTATTTAATATATTATTTTTAAAATTATATATATTATTTAATATATAAAATTACCATTATACCTAAAAAAATTATCGAATTTACGAAATGTTTCAAATTATATAAAAATTTTAAAAGGGCAATAATGACTTTTCACTCAAAAATTATCAAGAAAATGAAATTTAATAATTCGAACTCGATAGAGCTCGATAAGGCTCAAATGCTCGAATGGAATCGAGCCCACGAGTCAAGCTCGAGTACTGAGAACAAGTTTCGAGTTCGAGCTCGAGCTCCAATAATACTACTGGCTCGAGCTCGAGCACCCCTATCTCTATGTTGAGTCGAGCTCGAGTATGGCGATACTCGGGCTCGACTCGACTCGATTACAACCCTAATTCTAGCCGGCCACCAAGGAGAAGAAAAACAACCAAAGCTCTTCAATTTTCTTGCACCATTTCGTTACTAAATCTTCACCAAATCACCTCAAACTTTAACCACATTTTGCAATCTACTTGGAGAGCAACTCAAGCTACAAAAAGAGTTTCAAATCCACGGTTTTTCTTGAGCAAGGAGGATTGAAATTTCTGCCTTAATCATCTAAGAAAGTAAGTGACGATCAACCTTGCAAATCTTGACTTATGGAAGTTGTTTAGCACTTATGAGTTCATAATTTCTTATGGGTAGTTTTAAATTGTTGGAAAATTGGTGAGTGGGCTCTATGAACTCCCACTATGGCTTGATGGACTGATTTTGTGAGTTTTGATGTTAATAATATTGGATTAGTGCTTAAATTAGTAGAAATGAGTGATATTATGGATGAAAGCTCAAAGGCAGTGAAGGGGAGAATTTTTTCATTTCTGCCCCTGTGAATGCCGTGACCTTTAGAGCATTTTTTTGAAATTCTATTGACTTGTTTATGATGTATATATGTTGTATGGGTTGTGTGGAAGGTTTCTACAAAAAATTACGTGATTTGGTTGGCCAAATGTGGTGATTTCGAAAGTTCATTCAAAACTGGAATTTTTCCCGTATTGCACTGGCAGTGTTTTTTAAACAGCTATAACTTTTTGCTCCGACGTCGAAATCGAATGCTGTTTGCGGCACTAGAAATTAGACATTCCCAGCTTTCCAACGGTATAAAATGCACATCCTGATTCCATCTGAGTGATCCGAACTAACCTTGTAAAGTTGCCTATTCTGTTTCTCATTTTACTGGAAGTTTTGTTTTAAGCAGCGAGTTGATGCCCAAATATGAGTTAGTTGTGGACAGATTTTTAAAACGATTTCTTCTGAGAAATTGTAGCTTTATGAATCTAGTTTTCAACGCCACCAACCACGTTCAATTCCAAGTTGAATTGAGTGAGTTGTGGCCGAAGTTCGAAACTGATTCAGGGATTGAAAACCCTCTTTTGGCTAGTTGATGCCTTAACCTTGATTGGGACTTGTTGTTTCGAAATTCTTGATGTTAATCACCTACCAAACACATTTTGGATGTTTCTTAGACATTGTCTACCTAAATGAACCAGATTTGAGATGTTTTCATTGGCCGAATATTTAGAAAAGGAAATTTGCATACAAAGATAGATTTGTCTTGGAAATTCGTGGGACTTTAGTGATTTTGTTAACTGACTATCCGTACGTATTTTTCTATGAAATTTGACAGAGGAATAGCCCTTATATAGTAGTGTAATACTGCTAATTTTGGTGTCATTCCGAGTCCGTTTCGATATTCAACCAAAGTCCCAACATTCGTGAATTAAATCTGAAATTTGGCCTAACGGTCTCACTTTTCAGTAATCTTGAGCCGCCATATCTTGGTGCTCAAAACTCCAATTCTTGTTCCGCTTGTTTTGTTTTAAATTTTAATTGTAACTCTAATTGAGTTTCAAATTTGAGAGGCTCGTTCAAATTCTGTGAATTTTGCCGAATTTTCAAAGTTGGCCAAAAATCAACCTCGAAACTGCCTTGATAGCCTAAAACAGTAACTTTGAGTCAAATTTTGAATGTCTTCCATTTGGAATCATAGAAAAGTGTCTTCTAGCAACTTTTAGTACTTTGGAAGAAGTTTCCAACGGTACCAAGTTTTCCAATTTTGGACTTGTAAAGAGTAAGATACGATTTTTCAAAGATCTCGTATCAAAGGTGAAATTTTCGAAACTTAAGGAAATGGAGTTTTTCGAATTCTCCTTTTCCCTTCGATATCACATGATCGTTTTACACTTGAATTTAGAGATGAAAATCAGATTTCTCTTGTGCTTTAAAACCCCGCCTTTGAGCCTCGATTTACGAGTCAATAGGGTTCATTTTCATGAGATTTTCTTAGATTGTACTCTAGTACAATCTTCTTCGATAATTGGGGTTATGAGTGATAGATTATTATTAATTGCTCAGGCATTCAAGAGAACCTTCAAGAGGATCTCACTGGAGACACCTAACTTATCGCTTGTACTTGCTACTTGAATCACTCGGTGAGTATCAAGTGTATGAATACTTGATACATGCTTAATTGTTATAGTTGATTGGAGATTTTGAAAATGGAGACGAGTGTGTACGTTATCGCACTCGTTCTCTGACTCATGATTAAATTGATTGAAATGGAACGAATGAATTATGAATGCTTGATTGAATGAAATGAAATGCTTGAATGAAATGAAATGATATGCTATGACTGCATACGTCGCTGGAGTGAATCTCCTCGACTTACAAATGTCAATTGGGGGACGCCCAATTCTCACTAGCCAACCTTGGATTCGAGCCAGTATAGGTTTGGTCGGACTCCTTGGTGAACCATGAGAAAATATAAGATTGACCTACTGAGAGGTCTTGCTTGGCATACTCGAGCAGTATCGCCTCAAATAAATGACTGGCGGGCCCGGTATAAGGGTATGTAATGGTGAACGGGGACATGATAAGTGTGGTTCTACGGACTATAACCTACTCGATTGACGGAGTATCAACTCGTGGAGGTTCTTGATCGTGCAATGGGAAAATAGCTCCTGAGAGTTCCAATATTTTTGAATTGTTTCTGTTTACTTTTCTTGCTCGAATTGTCATTTTCTTGAATATTATTATTTTACTCGTTAATTGGGATTGATACTTGGATAATGTGCTTGCATGTGTGTTCTTGGCCCCATGAGCGATTGCTCACCCCGTAGATTTGTTTTCCTTAACAAGATTGGACTTGGAGTGAGACTCGAAGAAACCCATGGGATGTACTTTTGTTTTAGGGTTTCAATGTATTTGACTAGACCTCTTGGTTATGTATATTGGAACTGATGTATCTTTTGAGAACCGATGTAAGGATTTGATGATTGTTATATATTGTTAAATTCAAACGTTTCCGCATTTTGCTTACTTTACATCGTATTAATGGCTAGTATTGTATTAAGCTTGAATGGAAAGTGTACCGAGTCCTGGCGAGAGTTGGGCAGGCGTCCCGCGGATACCCTTTGGTTCGCCTTAGGGAGAAGTGGGGACGTCACATTAACTCTTGTATGTTCTCTGAGAATCACCTTGCTCAAAAACTTGTGTTTTCTAACTGCAGCACAATTTTGGATTTCTTCATTTATAATTCTTGGTTGGGCCTATATTATTCTGTATTGTAACTAAAGTTTTTAGTTATCAGGTGGTATTGAAAAGCTAATCATGATGGATACATCAAATGACATGGTAAAATTATGTAAAAATGCTGAGATGAGAATGCCTAACGAAAATATAGAGACGTCATATGTTGTTGGAGATGAAGAATTTTTGCCCATTAAAGAAAGGTATGTTTAGTTGAATCGCTATGGGTTTTTATGCCAGCTGGGTCATATTTTTGTCTTCTGATTCATGTATTTATTAATGCAAAACAGTACTTACTGAGAATTTCTGCTATGAATGTCAAGTTCTCTGGATCTGGTTATTAGTTGCTTGGGACTCCACTGGACTAATGATCTTCCTGGAGCCATGATACAGGTGCATTCTCTTTTTCTTATTGCTCATCCTCTACTGCACCTATTAGTCCAAACTTTACAGTATTTACATCCAATAGTTCTTTAGGGGATGTTGTTGAAATGATTAACACAAATACCATTGTGTTTTTAACAGGCTAGATTGGCATTGAAGCCTGATGGCCTCTTTCTTGCAGCAATCCTTGGTGGAGACACATTAAAGTTTGTCATGACTTTTTGTTTAACTGATGTAGTTGTTTTCCTATGCATAAGTTTACAGTTTTGTAATTGCTGGTATCTTGTAGGGAGCTAAGAATAGCATGCACTGTAGCACAAATGGAACGTGAAGGAGGCATAAGTCCACGTTTATCACCCTTGGCACAGGTAGCCTCTTAAGCCTTTGTGTTGTTTAATGAACCATATTGTTCTGAAGATCACCTTAGAGAAAAACAAATTCAGTTTATGAAGGTTGTCATTCCACCTTTGCATGTACACAGAGAAGCATAGTGCTTCCTTGAAGAAAGTGCTGTGCCTATGGGCATTTGTGCTTGATATACTCTTGAACTGTACCTTTTTACCTAATATTTGTCCTACATTGTTGTCAATTTCAAAATTGCATGAACTTTTAAAGAGATTCAGTTGTTAATTTAAATCGATGTCACCACATGGAAAAGGAGAAAAGCTTATTCTCTTATAGAATCTTCTCACAGGAGGAAATTCTTTTCTTACCTGTTTTGGCATTATCAAATAGCTGATCTGCACGCACAACAGTTTTTTTCCACTAAGCTTGGTACAGAAAATTATATGACCACGGAAATTTCTTTTCATGTTTGTCTTTTCGTGTTACCCTAGACTGACTCCTCTCTTATATACCAGGATATGTAACATCAAGAGTAAGGCATTAAATACACAGGCCACATTTCTCTGATAGTTGAGCATTTGACAGAAAATTTATGAGACTTTGATTGTGTAAATTTCTTGGATACTTGAGAAAAGGTCACATGATCTGGTCTTTCTCTAAGCAACTGCAATACTATTCCTTTTGCATTTTCTTAGGCTTCTCGTTCATTTGAGGTAGTACCTTGTTACACTGTCTCTTTCTTCCTTTTTTTGGGGAAAAAATCTCTTAGGTGAAAAGGCATGAAACTTAGTATTAAAACATGATCAAATTTTTAAGTTTCCTGGTCATATTCGTGTGTGCATTTATGAGTGCGTTAGCTGCTTATAATACTATTTACCAGGAAGTTATGAGAAAACAGCTTTGTTGATGTCTAGGTGCGAGATGCTGGTAATCTTTTGACTAGAGCAGGCTTCATGCTTCCTGGAGTTGATGTTGATGAATACACTGTTAGATATAAAAATCGTAAGTTTTTTTTTCCATTGGCTTTGAGAGCTTTACTTTTCAAGGCTTGTCAACTTGAAAGAGCTATGTATCCTTGTAGCTTGTACGCATGATGTATTTACCCTTTCACTTGATTGTGGTTAACTAGGTTCTTGTCAAGAAGGATGCTTGTTAATCTTGAACCTTTGGTAAAGTTATAGGCTTATAGTTAAACTCTGTTTATATTTACTTCTTGATACTTGAAAACACAGTTTAATAGGAGTAAGATTGGCGAGAAGGTCATAAGTAAATTAATAGTGCATTCAACCTCTCTAAAGAGCTTTTATAGCGGGTTAAATTGTCACTTGGTGAAATCAACCACAGCTGTAACTGTTTGACAAATTTGTCTTATGCGTTCCTTTTTTGGGCTCCACTGTTATCATTTGCAACTTTATAACATTTAGTTTTTAAACTCTCTTTTCTCATGTTAGATGATTCTTCTTCTTCTTGTTCATCCCTCATAAGCTTCATTCTTTATGGCCACTTGAAGAAATCAGTATCCCTGAAAATAGCCATGCTCTTGAACCAGGTTTTATTGCATTCCTCATAGTTAAGCCACTTGTTTTACGTTAAAACTTTACCCAGAACATATAGTCTTTATTTTTTTCTTTTCGGGCCATGTAATAAATGTTACAATAGGTAGGGAAAGCTAGGTCACTGCCAAGTAGTAGCCGCAATTATGCATAGAATGTCTACATCTTTCTGCCGATAACCAGTAGTCTTTGTTTTCTTAGATCTCTTTTGTTTTTGGAGTAGGGCATTAGACTCAGCCTGGCAGGTCCTTACAGTTTGAGCTTGGTCAGCCATAACCTAGGGTGGCTTAATTTAAATAAAACTGTAATGTGAAGAATTATTTCATCTTGCTTTGTGAAATAATTTTTGACATCATAGCATCACCAAAGGAAACCTTTTGTTTGAAGCTCCAGGAACTGCTCGGAAACCTTCTGTTTGAAGCTCCAGGCACTGCTGGATCTTCTAAGGGTTGAGTCTACATCCTCTACAATGAAATTATGACCTCACAAATCAACTGCAGCACTCGTTAGGCTTGCAATGTTTTGTAACCTAAGTCAGTTACAGAATTATTCACGTGCACATTGTTGAACAAATACCTTAATTACACTCTCCTCATTCATATATCTCTTATTTCTAATTGCTACCCTTCCATTAGAGAATAATGTTCATCCAAACTATTTGGCCCCATAATTGTGAGCAACAGTTGTAGTTGCATCAACAGAGCACTAATAGCATGTGAACAATTACATAATTGATTTATGTTTGTCTTGTTTGACAGTGGGTATTTGGAATTTGGCCCCACATCGTTTTCTTGATTGCGAGTATTTGGAGTTTCCATGCATAGGCTCTGCCAACAATTCCTGGAGGCAAAAAGTTGAAAGTAGGCAAAAAGCAAGAACTTGATGTTTGCTGTTGAAACCTAGTCCAAATCCCTAGAAGCAACAAATTTTATGGTACGGAGGGAGTAAGAAAAAGATGATCAGATTTTAGGTTTCCTGGTGCATATTTATGTCCAGTTCATTTGTGTAACTATTAGATTGGAGAAATCTTCTGATTGGTAGTTATTAATGTAAAATGTGATTTTGAGGGGAGAGTGAAAAAGGAACAAGTTGAGCATGGTAATTTGAGCTGTAGAGAATGTTATTTATATAGACTGACTGTAGCGCCTGAGAGACCTGATAATTTAGATATGCTTGCTTTGGATTAGATTCTCAACTGTTGCTTGGTCATGGTTTCTAAAGTCGGTTTTTAATGGTCTTGGAGGTTTTGCACTGTCTTATTTAGCAGCACAGCTAACCCAATCGTCTTTTAGTTTTTAATTTGGTAATAAAATTTTTTACAACTTGCTTCTTTTGTGGCCTTGGCCTATCTATGGAAGTTGGGTAGGTTCATGCTGTAAAATATTGTATGAATGCTCTGCTATTTGGCTATCTTCACTGTTGGAGCTGCTAGCCTGCTAGGTGATGCTTTTCGTCATTTGATTTTAATTCTTGTAATAAGCTTGATACATAAATGCATCAATCATGCCCCGTCGAAAGCATGTACAAAGACACGTGCAGGCCATAGAGTCACTGTAAAAGTACCAGAAGCCAGTTATTTTAGAATTTCTGGTGATTTTCTTCTCTTAGGTGATATAGGATCCTAGTGATTTTTACTTTCTATTTGGATTACTCTTTCGGAGAGAGTATGTTACATTGATGAGGAATCTAGTTTAGGGTCATAGATGTTGGTAAAGCATTAGTGAGAATGGTGCTTTCTTGAGGTTTTTGCATATAACTTTGAGAGTTTGTGCTAAGATAGTGTCCTAGAAGACATTCTCTCTGGTTCTCTTCTAAAAATCCATATCATAGTTGTGAATCAAATTCAGATGCTGCGCTGTTTGCACTTCTGCTTGTGTCAGACTGTCCGTTTGGTATACCCCCTTTTTGTTGTTTTGATAGGTTAAAACTATTTGTTTACAGACCACATATGCTCAATGGTTGTCCTACCAAGGCAGCAAACTGCTTTAGAATTTGTAATTTTTTGCTATATTATCTTTTATAAATGCACTTTTTTCTTCCATTTGTTTTTCATATTATACATACTGATTGCTTTCCCTTTTGCTGGGGTAGCTCTGGAGTTGATAGAGCATCTACGTGCAATGGGCGAATCAAATGCTCTTATACATAGGGGCAAGGTAAGACATTCTGCAACTAATTCATCCTTCTAGGTGCCATTACGAGTATCCTAGTTTTCCACCATTTTCAGTATCATATTTTCCTTCTCAAGTAAATGTTTAATACTTTGCTACTGTCTCACATAATTTCTTCATAATGTGAACTAGATTCTAAATAGAGAAACAGCCCTTGCAACCGCAGCTGTTTATGAGTCAATGTTTGCAGCAGAAGATGGAACTGTACCAGCAACATTCCAGGTACTTAAATTTCCATTCCTGTAGTGTATTTCTTTAATTAAATGTTTGTTCCTTCCTTCTTACACTACTAAATAAACTTCAAGTGGGCCCATCAGTATACAAAAAGTCAGCGTCTAATTTACCTTTTTGCTATGAAAGTACCTGATTTTGTATATGTATGCGGACAGCAGCTAATCGTCGATATGTAAATCTCTACTGCTTTTTGGATAAAGTTACTCGTTGTTTTTGTCCCTTGGAATGGGTTGAATTCCATGGCTTTTAAGGGTTTTAAGGACTTTCTAGGTAATTTTTTGTTGCAAACTTTTGGTAAGTACATGAAATCGTAATGAATTTTAATAACATTTACGAAATCTCCTTAATATGACGAGAGTTATTCCAAATAGTGTAGCCAGAATTTCTGCAATTCCTTTAAGAAACAGTTGTCATAACTAATGGCCCCACATATAGGATTCATGGGGTAGGCGATCCTTAATTATGTTTGTCACTTGATTCTTGTCATTATGTTGCTCTAAATTCCTGTACACGTGGATAAATCAAATTCAGAGAGAATTCTCAAGCACTATACTAAATTTATACATGGAGCTAGATAACGGCTGTAAGATGTCTTCATTGGAATCAAGAAATTCTCTCTTTGCTCTCTGTCATACTTGCTTAGGTTGATGTTTGGCAGAACTTGGGGCAGGATATTGTAATTCATTGGCTTTGTTAATATCCTAATGTCTTGCATTGTTACTGGTGTAGGACAGTTCTTTAATTGGCTCCAATTCCAGTCTCCAAGTGAACTCCAATGATCTTAACTTTCCAGATCACCTCTTCCTCTGGGATTATTTGGTTTACAGTCTCCAAGAGAGGGTGACTTTGTAGCCATCTGTCCTTCCACTAGAGCAGGGGTTCATTAGTTCCCAACCTCCATTGGACTCCTTTATCTAATGTCATTCCCCAGCCCTGATACTCTCACTGGAAATTTCATCCTTTCCTTCCCTCTGCAATATTTGCTTGTAAGTAACCTGCCTGGTGTAAGTTGTCTTTCCTTGCAAATATCCTTTTCATCTTGGGAAGTAAAGGCATATTCACCCTTCTCAGCCTTCTGATGTCTAGATCTCATTTCTGGCTTGAGTTATCAAGGCCAGCCTTCATGGTGCATCTTCCTTCCTCCATTGTTTCCACATAAGAAACCTCTGGCATTTTTCTCAATCTCATCTACTGCTGAGGTCAGCAGGGAATTACCACTAAGACAGGTTTTACCAGTATGACCCTTCCACAATGGAGAGCTTTTCTCCTCTTCCATCCTCTGTTTCCTCACTTTATCTGGTACAGAATAAGTTTTGCTGGAAAGTCGGAAGTGCAGCAAGGGCACTCCCAATTACATCCCCGTGTCTCTGGTCTCAATCAACCCTGGTTTTATGATCATCAGTTCTGTTTCCAGACACTTATGGAAGTCCTTGGGATCTTTCCCACTACTTGTGCGTGTTCCAACCTAGCTTTGGGAAACAAAAGCAAATCATTACAAGCATCAAACGCGATACCTGATTGCCAGATCTTGAGGCTTTCACTGCTTTCCATTTGCTTTTCTTTTCACTGGCATTGTAACCAGAAGAGACGTTTTCAGGTGATAGCAACAGGTATTCGGTAAATGATCTTTACCTAATCCCTGTTGTTATCTCCCCAAATCCCTGTTGTTCTGGGAATTACCACTAAGACAGGTTTTACCTCATCTACTGCTGAGGTCAGCAGGGAATTACCACTAAGACAGGTTTTACCAGTATGACCCTTCCACAATGGAGAGCTTTTCTCCTCTTCCATCCTCTGTTTCCTCACTTTATCTGGTACAGAATAAGTTTTGCTGGAAAGTCGGAAGTGCAGCAAGGGCACTCCCAATTACATCCCCGTGTCTCTGGTCTCAATCAACCCTGGTTTTATGATCATCAGTTCTGTTTCCAGACACTTATGGAAGTCCTTGGGATCTTTCCCACTACTTGTGCGTGTTCCAACCTAGCTTTGGGAAACAAAAGCAAATCATTACAAGCATCAAACGCGATACCTGATTGCCAGATCTTGAGGCTTTCACTGCTTTCCATTTGCTTTTCTTTTCACTGGCATTGTAACCAGAAGAGACGTTTTCAGGTGATAGCAACAGGTATTCGGTAAATGATCTTTACCTAATCCCTGTTGTTATCTCCCCAAATCCCTGTTGTTCTGGTTCAGTTACTTTATAACTGCAATGACAGGATCTTAAAGGTTTTCTGTGCTGAAAGTTTCGGCTTGCGTTAGGGATGTTAGTTCCAAATCCGCCCTTATTGTACATTCACTTCTTAATGTGAATTTGCATCTATTATTCTGCCATAACGATTTGGTGCTGCATCATTTTATCCTTCTTTTTCATGCATATTGTCAACCATTGCACCAATATTGTCTCTGAAACTTTTAATTTCAGTTCCTAGTTGCTTCCATTGCATCTATCTTCCATTGCTTATTATGTTCGTGTTGTGTTAATTGTTAGTAACTTCCCTGTTCCCCAGATGTTGAGTTCTTATCATTGAGAAGGTCCCTTAATTAAGATTTAGTTTTTTGAACTTTCGCATGTTTATGATTATCCATTTTTGCCATCTGATGCAAATTAGAGGAAATGCTCTATTTGCAGACTCAGTAATAAGACAAACTATGCCTTTTCAGAGTTCGTTCTCTTCTATGTATATGTTTGGTCTTGATAATTGTCCATTGGGATTATTTTAGGTCATATATATGACTGGTTGGAGGGAGCACCCTTCACAACAGAAGGCTAAACAGAGGGGTTCGGCTACAATATCTTTCAAAGACATCCAAAAGCAATTTGGTCAGAGTGACGAAAGATGACTCTCTCTCTCTCTCTCTCTCTCACACACGCTCACGCACACGCACACCATGGATCCCAACTATCCTGCCACGAAAGCATTGGGAAAACTTGTGCATATGGATAGAGCTCCAATGGATGTCCATCTCGCTAATTCTCTGGACCATGAGATGAGACATCTGGACCATGAGATGAGACATGGAGCCTGGGGTGTCCGAAGATTATTGTTTGAACTGAGCTAGTCTGATGGGATTAAGGGGGAAATAAGAAACTTTTTTGGAATTATTTGGCAAACATGCTGTACTGATTAATTAGGACTTTGATGAGATTCTACTCATGTCTACGGTCAATGCGTGACATTCTGCCATATCATGCTTTTCTCAACCCTCAATGACATGCATTTGTTGTACTAATATTCTAATTTTGAGGTATACTTTGGTTCACAATGAGAATAAGATTTATCATTTAGAGGCCCTTTGGTTCAGCAAGAAATGTAGAAAAAGGGGACCAGAAGTTGGAGTATCCAGTGTCCATTGCGCAGACGTGTGGTTAGCTTATTATTGCTTCTGTCTGGCTCCTACCCTTTAGGTGACTAACTTATTACAGTCCATTGCTAGCACAGAACACTCAAAACATGTCAGCCTTGGAGTATAGGTTTTTACTTTATTTCTTTTTGGTGCTGAGAGATTAACACTTTTTTTTTTTTTAGGAAAAAAAGGTTATCGGAGAAAACTCACCCCTCTAATGTCATCGATGTGAACTTTCCTACTTTCAACATTGAAGAGGGAAATTAGAATACAAAAGAAAGTCTTCACGCTGTTGGACTCCTAATTTTGCAACGCATTCAGCGCAATAGTTTGCCTCTAAGTCTAAGGATGTGATAAGCCTAAATTGGGACAATGAGTACAAGGAAAAAGGCCTTTTGTGACCAAAAAAAAAAACAAGTCAGATATTCGTCACAAAGAACGTCAGCTGATGACAACTTTGTCACTAGAGGCTCGTCCCAGATAACATGTGGCTAAAAAAGAAATTGGTTGCTCAATGCTCTGCAATAGCAAACAGAAGAACGTGAATATTAGTAAGATTTCCTGTAAACAAATCATGGATAACCTTAGAGTCAGCTCAATAATAATACGAGTAAAGTTTTGTTGAACAGCAATGCTGAGACGTCTCTAATTGCCCACGCCTCTGCTGTATTTATCGTTCCTGCTCCAACATGCCTACTGAACCGAAGTATCCAATGATTTATTTTCTTAAGAAAAATTTTAACTTCTTTTCTGAGGATTCGTGCAGACTTTTCAAGGCCTGATATTTCCATGCACAAGCTTCAGAGTATGAAAGTAGGGAGAGAGCTATAAAAGCAAGTTGGACTCCAAAAGAGAAAGATATATGCAATGTAGTTTATGCAGGTAAGGGTAAGAACAAAGCGCAATATACAGGAAGAAAGATGCTTGCATGCGTTTTACACTACCGCTTTCTTTCAAGATTGATTTATCCTTGGTATGTTTGACGTGAAAATGTAAATGCAGCTAACCTAATACAATAGAATGGAGCATCTAAAAGCATGATTGTCTTTTCCAAAAAACAAAGTCAATTCAAGCAATAATGTGTTTGACAAATTTGTGAGAACTTTGACGAAAAAGTGATAAATGTATTAAAATCATTTGAACTTGGATTGCAAGTTTTTAGAGTTTTTTTTTGGTAAAAAATACAATAGCGATATAATATATGCGAGATAAAAAAATTTAAAAAAAATGTATCGAAAATTTTTTTTCTCATGTTACAAGGATTTTTGTGGAGTGGTGTTTCTAAGACTTTTACTCTTCCTATTCTCAAATGGAACAGAAAATGTTATATGGTCTCTCATGTGGTAATATCGTAACGCTGAGAAAAACAATCTTTATTTTTATTTTTTAAATTTTTTGGTGGGGAAGCCAAAATTTCAATGTAAGATTGTTATACTTAAGTGGAGGGAAACAATCATTGCTTTAAAAAAAGGAGAGAGAGAGAAAACAATCATACCGTATGTAGAATCGTAGAACCATAAGATTTTATATGAAATATAAACCTATAAAAAAACCAATATCCTAGTTATTTATACACTTGTAGCCGAGGAAAAGATTGTAGATGTAGGATATGCAATATTAGACTAAAAAATGATTTTTTTTAACTAAAACATATAATTTATAACATTATATGTTAAAAGCATAAAAGTTCAAGTCACTCTAGAACCTATTTGACCTTGTGCCTGAATGTTTAAAAATTAAATATGATTGATCTAAATTCATAAAATAAGACTTCGAATTCCAAATTATTGAGAGATTTCTTAGCTTAAGTAATATAGAGTTAAATCCAAAAACTTCTAGTGACGTAACTATAGTTTTACAAACTCTATTGATCTGAAGATCAGGATCGAATTCATAAATTCGAATAGTAGAACCGCAAGGTCATAACAGTGGGATTAGGATTTCAACAACAATATTACCAATACATTGTTAGATATGCACAATCACATAATATGCCAAAAATACTAATTTGTTTGGATTTTGGTCATAATTTGGAATAGAAACCTTTGTGCATCATAAACTTCTTGTTAAAATCACATTTTTATCTTCAAAACCATTCCTTTTCTTATCTCACATACATTTTTTTGGTCAAAGGTTAGAATTCATTAATATTTGATAATTCAAGATTTTGCAATCTAAATTCGGACCATTGCCCTCATATCTACTTGTGCCTGCTCTACAAGCTACAGCGGGAAGTTTAATTTCGACATTACATCCTTGGCTAATTTAGATGCAAATTTTGTAAGTTTGCGACTTACTACATTTACTATCCTATTAGTATATGAAAATGAAGCTAGGTCAAAAGTAGCAGCTGACTCTCTTATGTCTTTAACTATGATGGCTTGTGTTCTGGACTAGGCAATATTCTGCCAACAACATTTATGCAATCTCACTATATTTCTACCTTCCTCCATCCTGCTTCTTTTGTCATATTAAGTGCTAATCTTATGGCTGCAGCTTCTCCCAACTGTTATTCTTCTAGGGATGGAGCCTGAGATTTTTTTAGTGAGGACACAATTTAGTTACATTGCTCTTAAGAATACGCTGATAGAGTTTTCATATCTCATGGTTATGCTCCAGTGTCGGACTTTTCTTTTCTCATTTTCAAAGTTAGTCATATAATTCAAAAAGAGTTAATCATATATATACTGACAATGTATATACTGTGGTGATTGGATCCATGACACGTGAGTAAAATTTGTACATGTGTTATGTATCTAACGATAACAGTATATATACATACTGACAATGTATATAAAATTAATCCATTCAAAAACTGTTAGATTGTATATTTTATATTAAAAAAATGTATATTTTATATTCTTGTATATCTCGTGCTTGCACTAACGTTGGATTTCCTTTTCCTAATTTTAGAGTTAGCCATACTCCTCAAGTTTTATTTTTTTTCTGAGAAATTAGACGTGAAGTTTATTTCTGACTTTGTAATTTTACAATGGTTGAGCAAAGACTAGTATTGAACTATACAAAAGTGTTCAAAAACACCGAGGATTCCACCATTCCTCATCTTGGATAATGCTTAGTGCGTGGTTACTAATCATACTACTTCTACTTCTATTTTCATTAGTTGATAGACCAAATGACCACTCCAAAAACAACTGACTTACACTATGGATATCTTCCATGTTCCATCTGTGCAAACAATCTTATGTCCTTTGCTTTCTTGGTCCTCAATAGCTTCAGCAGCTTTGGCGAAGACACTTGAACTTTAATCCTCCACCAGTTATGCTCACTTGCTTTGCTTAAAGTTAATCTTAGGGCTTCAGTATAATCTAGCAGATTATGCCCTGTGCTCCTTTCCTTAAAGGCCCAGCTAGCTAGCAGTGTATTGATTGCATCTGCTACCACAATGCCAATTCCCAAAACCTGTCCTTCCTTCTGATCACTCACTGCAAGCAGATATTAATGGAATTGCCTTCTTCATTATTGATTTGATCTTCATCCTCTTCTCTTGCTGTTTCTGGTATGCTCATTCGTATCCTCCTTTCCATTACTTCAGTATATTCCCCCCATTCCCCTTGTGCCTTCTGTACAACTTTGACAGGATGTCTAGGTGCGCTTTAAACACTCTTATCATTCCTTGCTTTCCACATCCGCCACAGTAAGTTAACAGTTAGTACTATATGTTCTGCTCCATCCATTCTCTTCCTTGCCTCCAGCAGTGCATTCCACCATCTCATAAAGTTCCCCTTCTGATCATTTATTCCATCCGATTGTAGTGGGGCTATTCTCCACACTTGTGCAAATTTGCAGAAAAAGAACAGTACAAATAGGTTCTCCCTTCTTGGTTCTGGAGAAGATTAAGTCATTCACTGGAAGTGGATTATCGATGCATTTCCATATGAACAGCTTCAGTTTGCTCTTGATGTTCAATTCCCACAAGTGTTTCCACATTTGTTCATTGCTTCCATGCAAACTTGGTCCTTCTTCCCGGTTTCTACCGCTTACCAGA